TCTCATGTTTTTCAGACTCACTTGGTCAGTCTTTGAAATCTTGCCCATTGGCAAGTTCTACAGTAAAACTGTTTATTGGAAAAACATTATCCATTGGAAGATTGACACTTAGGTAATTTAACAAAATTTAACTCTGGTTGAAGTTCTTGTTTACTATCATTGGGTGTGTGCACACATACTAAGGCAACTTACAATAAGGCAACTTAACTAAGTTGACTCAAGCCATGTTGGAGTGTATACATGTACAGGTCCTTGACATGGTAGCAGTCATCTTGTGAGCTAAGGCAACTTAACTAATGCAACTCAAGATAATACACTTTGCAGGTGTGGCAGAAATGCCACCGTCTATGTCTCTCTCCAGAAATCTGTCCCGGTCAGCTTGGGACACTGGGGTCGAATTCCTAAGGGAGGGGGGATTTTCCTCCCTGCCTACGTGACAAAAGCCTGGTGCCTAGGGTGTGGCCCCTCTGGTCACCTGAGTGGGGGGAGGGAAAAGGCCCTGCTCATCTGCCCAGGTAACCAGTGATGCTTTTTAAATTGGTTGGAAGTGTGGCAGAAATGCCACCATCTGTGTCTCTCTCCAGAAATCTGTACCGGTCAGCTGGGGACACTGGGGTCGAATTCCTAAGGGAGGGGGGATTGGGCTGAGTACCCATAGGACTGTTAGGCCTGTGTTTCCCTGAGGACACAGGACCCAGACAGTCCCTTCTCAGGGTGGTGGCAGCACACGTTACCCCCGGACTCTGCAGTGGGGCTCGAAAGGGGGCCTGCCAGGGCTTAGGCGCCCCTGGAGAGAGACGTGGAGTCCAGAAGGTGGACGGCCGTAGTGAGGTGGGAGGCTCAACGCAGGAGCTCCCCAAACTGGCCTGCCACAGAAGGTAAAAGCTTTGTTATCTGGCACCCACAGGGAATGGAGGGTGCCAGATAACAAAATATGCCGGTTAACTGAGCAACCCAAACAGACATCTTTGCCTGTTCGGGCCGCCGCTTGTCCTGCTGCATGGCCACCCCTCCCGCGGGCCCCATAGACCCCGAGGGACAGGGAGGGGGGGACCCGTGCAGGCTGCTATGTCCCAGGCTGTAGGGGCCTGGCAGCGTAGGCTGCTTTCCCCAGGCCGTGGGGGCTCCACAAAACCAGAAACGCCATGGTGGGCACTTCTGGTTTCATTTTTCCCTTACAAGCCGGCATGCCAGTTAACAGAGCATGCTGGCTTGTAAGGTGCCGGATAATTCGGCTTTTACTGTATTATCTTGCGCCACGTTTAAATCAACTCTGCTCCACATAGATGTCTACGCTCTGACAGTTAAGTTGAGTTTAAAAAGTTCATTTGGCTTAACTGTCAGAAAGTTAGCACATGTGTATACACGCACTTGGAGTACTCCTTTCTGGGTTGCAGTAAGGTTAAAAAAATAAAACAAAATGTTAATTCTTTGATTATAAATAGATTCATTTTTCAAGTATGCTAAGGGAAGCAGTACATTTTACAGTTTTCCTGCAGGAACAGGGAAACTGTTAAAATTAGACATGCTATGAGCTGGGCCCTTATACATTGTGTACCCATTAAACTCATAATTTAGAGGGCAAATAAAAAAAAAAGGCAGAGCATAGGCACCAAAAGTCCTGTGAAATAAAGATGACCAAAAGTCATTCTGGCCTAGCTTTGTGTCCTTTTCTGCTCTCAGATCTTTGTAGCATTGCTGCCTGGAAAACCACGCTAACATTGGCAGGGCAGCAATTCCTTCAAAAGTTGCCCCTACTACTGCTATTCTTTGGATTTTTATAATGTAGCACATGGAAAAATACCCAGCCTGGATGGCATGTCTTTCAAGTAGTCTCTTAGCACAAACAATCTTAACTTGTAAACATAAGGACCTTGAACTCAGTCTCAGAAGATACCAGTCTCAGTGATCCTCAAAGCAAGGTTCCCCACAGTCACTGTTTTTGTGTTAACATGACTTTCTGTAAATGTTTGTGGGGAAGTACCAAGATAAAAGTCCTCTGTTCAAGGGTCTTAAATCTTGGAGGTTGATCTTGTGGACCACAGTTGTTGACATACTCTTGGATCTGCTACTCTGAACGAGCTTCATGAAAGCTTCTGCTCCCAGCTCTTTACAGCATTGTTGCCTGGTGTACTGAGAAGCCATGGTAGCATTGACAGGGCAGTGATTGCTTCAAGTTATCCCTACTGCCACTGTTTGCTGTTTGAATAATAGGACTATATTCTGCCACATATGAGTGGACACTTTTGCCTTGGCTTAATTTCCACATCAGGAAGCAGTGCCATAGAGAATGCCAACTATATATGCCAAAGAAGTGGAATGTACATTTTGGAATCTACTCTCTTCAGCTCTCTGGGCAGTACAGCCCATACTCTGACATCTCTTTATTCCCATCAGAAAGGTCATGTTTCTCCTTTTGCTGCCCATCTATAGACTGTTTTTCACACACGCACATCCACCCCCTGAATTGCATACTGGACAGCTTGGCTAGGGACAGACATTACACATAATCCAGTTTAAGTGATCAGAAACTGGTTTAAACCTGTAACAGAACAGATGTTCAGTGTACATAAACCAGTTAGAAAATGGCTGAAACCAGTTTGAGATAAACGTGGTTGAATGTAGTATCAGACTTAATTGGTTTGGGTCAAAAGTGGTTTATGCAGTGTCTGTCCCAGACCCCTTGCTGGTTTAAATTAAACCAGACTCCTCCAGCATCCTGGCATGCTGGCTGGCCTCTACCCTTTGCTCCCTGGCTGGAGCTCAGGAGAGACTGCAGGCATCTGCCTGGCTTCCCCCTGCTCCCCTTCCCCTCCCCACTCCCTGTAAGGTCCCCTCTGCCTTACAGACACCTCTCAGCATTAGGTAGCAGACCATATGCTGACTACAGTCTATGCTGTGGCAGATGGAACAAAGACAGAATCCACAGGTAATGTCCCTCTTGTTTTCTTAATGGGGTGATAAACACTGAGTTAGGGGTGATAAACACTGTGTTATCAATTAAGGAAGGAAAGGGAGGACTGCTCTAGCACCTCCTGGCTTCTAGCCTGAGCCACTGCAGGTATGTGCCTGCATTTCTGGGATGTCTGTGCAGTTACAAATTGATTCAGCCTAGCCAGATTAGACTAACGTTGAAAGATTGAATCAATTTAGGCTGAGGCTTTTTGAATGTCTGTCCCTAGCCCTTTAGTCAACAGGGTCTTGGTGATCTGGCAGAAGGTGATCTGGCAATACTGCAAAATGAAACTAAGTGATGGAATGTGGTAGTTTCCACATATGATCTTGGCAAACTCTGTAACATTCCTCTGAAAAAGGAGCAGAGATTTTTCATTTGCTTAATTATAAAAGTTCAAAAATGGGCTGTTTCCAAGATGTTGTTAGAATATATGTTTGTGGAATTTAGGAGTCGGTACAATGTAACTGAGGCAGAAGAATCCAGAGAAGTGTGATGAGAGCAGAGGGGAATTACAAAAGGGGAAGAATGTTTTTAATATATTTTTCACTGAAAACATTATTTGATATAGTCTAAAAACAAAACAAACAAACAAAAAAAACCCTGTAAAAAAATTCACTTTCCCTTTTGGCGAGGTATTGATCAAAATATGGGACTCATGTACACACCACTATTTTTGCCCTTTCGTGCACTTCGACTGCATGTCTGTTTGCATGAGCAGGATTTTCCGATGCTTTAAAAGTCTTTCTTGTGCATTAAACTAAAATTCCTTGGATGTAGTTTAGTTTGGCTTACTGGAAATTAAAGTGTTGCATACGTGGATCCATTGTGTGTAAACACAAAGGCACTCAAAAACGTAATGAGCCTCTTTGTCCAGCAGATGACATTGTGACTTTTTAGTAGTTCACCCCTTCGAATTGCTTTCGCTTTCAAATTGCTTCCACTTTTGTTGTTGTTGTGTAGCTTTTGCTTTTTCTTTTTTTCTATTTTGCCAGCTCCCTGCTTCCAAAGCTGCATGGCAGGGCATGGGCACAGAGTGGGTAGAGGACCCTGGGCCAGGGCGAGGGTGGGGGGCAGTGCTGGACCATCCTGCTGTCCTGTGGAACCAGTGGGGACACGGCTTAATTCGTTTGAAAACCTAGTGTCTGTAAACACAGATGCAGTGCTCCAAGGCTTAATTCATATGAAAATATAGTGCATGTAAACACAGATGCGACCCTCCAAAATAAATGTTTAACTTTTATAAACTTTATAAACCTATTTAATTTCAGGAGGATTAAAACCTGTGGTGTGTACAAGCACCCATGGAGACTAAATCTGAAGGCTACATTTTGAGGTGCTTGTTATAAACAATACAGGCAGTCCTCGACTTGCAACGTTTTGAGTTACAACGTTTCACACTTACAGCGTTTATAAATTGACTCCCTGTTACAACTTTCTGACATCAGTTTTGACTTTACAATGCTTGATCCAGTGTGACACTATGCCAGCAAACAAGTTCACTGTGTCACCCATCTCCCTAGAGAACATCTGTCCAAACTTCCTTGGACACTTTCTTTAAGAAAGTAGACAAGACTCCAGGAGAACCTGGAGCCAAGACTCCTGAGAAGACTCCAGCCAAGAGCCCTTCAAAAAGTCTAACCAAGAGCCCTTCAAAAAGTCCAACAAAGTCACTTCAAAGAAGTTCTTTCAAATCAATATGATTGCTATTTATAATATAAATACATTAATGTAGCTACATTACTCAACTATAATTGATGAAGTACAAAATTCTGGGGTATTTTTGGTGAAAATAGGGTATTGGACCTTGGTTCAGGAACCAGTCCCCCATTTATAACATTGTTTCTTATGAGAAAATTGGTTCCGAGTTGCAACATTTCAACGTAAGACATGGTTTTCAGGAACCAGTTATCGTAAGTCTGAGGACTGCCTGTATAAGTAAATGATCTAGGTTTTTTGATCACTGGATCATGTGTGTTACTTCTTAAACTGTTATACAATATGATTTTTCGTTGAATATTCACAGTCAATATTCATGCTATTTTAGGGTGATTCGGTACCAGGTGGAGATGACTCTCCATTCTCAGACTCGGTTACCTTGGAGCAAACAACAAGTAACATTGGAATATCAAGTGGACGTGTAAGCCTATGGATGCAGTGGATGTTGCCAAAAATTACTATAAAATTGTTTGCACCAGATCCTAGAAACACAGGCACAGGTATTATGCACAGAAGTAGTTATATGACATTTTTAAAATTCTTTTAAGATTAAATTACTTTATCTTTAAGCAGGCGGTCATGAATCATATACACAGTAATTTTAAAAAAATCATGGACTTAGTCAATTTTCTAGTATGTTCCAACAGGCTGTCATACCTGAGATGAAAATTTACCAGGATCCTTAAGAGTTTTCCTTCATAAGGAATAGGGACTATAGCAAGTTTGAAACAACATTTAATTAGTAATTTTAAATGATATAGGACTGTAGTTGTACAGCAGCAACATGGAGCTTTCAATAACGTTTTTTGTGATGACATGCAAGTCCCTTTTAAGCAATTTAAACAGCTTTGGATTTTTGTTGACACTTCTGAAATATTCATAATTGTGTTAATGTCATGAATTTAAGTCAATCACTGTAATATCCTTTTAAATGTAATGTTTATGTTTAATATTGGAAGTAGAAATATGATTTAATGGTAAGTAGTAGATAATCCATTACTCATCTTTTCTTTCTTTGAGAAACTCTAGGTTGATTATTATCATCAATTATATTATTTATAAAAGAGTTATATTACACACTTTATACATCACTTACTAATCTGTGAGTTTGAATAATAATTGTCTTAGGATATGCGATTCAGATTCTTTTTAATGAATTCTACTTGTACTTAACTTGACAACAAAAACTTAATGCAAGGAAATGATTCTTAAAATTCAGTAGACTTCGTGAAAAGGATGATAAATGACTTTGACCTTGTAAAGCACTTTGAAGATATAAAAGAAGTCTAGATAGATAGATATTATTTTTAAAAGTCCTGTAATTATTTTTTCTAAGAAAAAAGGTTCTGCTGAGGAGAAAAAGTCCTGTTGTTTCAGTGCAGCAGTTTAAAAGCACGCACATTTTTCTAAATGTAGCTAATAGCTATACATTCTACATAACATACTGAATTCTGGAATTTCCCTTTGCTTAATGATGCAACCTTTCCCAAGAGGAGATTACAGTAATCCACCAGTTTCAGTTTCCCAACACTGCTATACCATTATTAATACAGCTTTTATGTTTTATGTTTTGATTTTAAGAGTCAGACACAATTATCGGTCTGTTCTCTGTACATATTCATGTCCCCAAAGTCTATGTAGACAACAGGAGAAAGTGTTGATGTTGTATTTATTAACAAAATTTAAAACTTCTCTACTGGATTGTACTCTCTGTTCTTCATAAGGATATTGTTTGGGATAGAGATAGGATGTCTGTTTTGACATTTCAAAGGAACAGTGTTTTGTTTCATCGTTTCTTTTTGTTTCGAAGCACTGTCCCATTTTGTTTTGTCGAAACCGTTTTGCTGTTTCAACTTGTTTCAACGTTTCACCCACAGGCTATAATGGGGAATCATGAAAATGCCTAAAATGTTGTCATCTCTTCCCTGATTTGGATACAAATTGCAGGGATGGTAGCCCCTTCTGAGGGCATGAAGCCTGAAGGAGATGGGTGCACAGGTTTCTCGGAAACTGCACCTCAAAGTCTTGAAAGGAAAACTTGCCAGCAGCGGCAGCCTCCCATTGTCTGGCATGCAGATCCAGGGGTCCGCACCTCCGGGAGGGCTGCGGGGCTGTGCCGGACTGCTCCCGGGGGTGCAGGCCCCTGGATCTCTGCCGAATGACAGGAGGCTGCAACAAAATTTCACACAGCCCTAGTGCTTACCTCCTTGAAGAGGGGCCTAGCAGTGGTGGATATGGGGAATCATCCAGGCAGGGACAAGCCTAAGCCTGCCTTTATCTGCTTATCTCCTAACACCTCACTTATCTCCTCACACCTCCGACACTCTTCAGAAAATCTGGTGGCACCCAAGGCTGCCCCCCACTGTGGTTGAGAATCACTGGCTTGATACTTTTGATAGTTTTTAATTACATGATCATGTACTATTTTTTTTCCCACAAAACTGTTGTATCAGACACCTGTCATGACAACTATTAACAAGTTTAAGTAGAGCAGCAGTATTACAACTAAAGAAGACATGTTACAGTAAGAGAGCTCTTTATACTATTTGAGAGCTTACTGTATCTGTTTAAACAATTGTGGATGGTGTGACAGGAGACATTATCCAGGTTTTGGTTGGTGGAACTAGCCGTTGACATTTTAAAAGCTCTTTGACAGCTGCTTAAAATCCAGTCTATCTAGAATGCATCTAATCTGTGCAGAATTTTACCATATTTTCTTACATACACTGTGCCCCTGAATAAGCTACACCTCTTGTCTTTTAAAGGTAGAAACGAAGAAAAAAGTTATTTCCTTCAAAATACTGGTATTTTATTTTCCCAGAGAAAACACAGGCAACTGCATTTGGGTAGGGTGAACAAAACATTGTAGCTTCCCTGTCAACCCCCTGGCTGCAGGATGCAGTAGGTGCTGCTGGCTGAGCCAAAAATACCCAATCCATTTTCTCTTCCCTTCTCTTCTCAAGCTAAGCTGGGTTGGCAGTCAGCAGCACCTTCCAGCTTGTGCAGCATAAGCCTCTGCTGGGGAAAAGAGAAAGTGTCCATAGCTTAGGGAACCCCCTTTGCAGCATATGCTGCATTACTTCTCTTTCCCCGGCAGATGTTTCATCAGCAGAAGCAGCTGTTACCATATTTCCTTGCTTAAATCTCCCCTCAAATCTCTCTCAGGGTTTTAGCAGAAGTTAGCATTCTGACTTTTCTCAGCAGTTTTTATCTGTAGTGTGACTGAACAAAAATCTACTGTGGAAAACGCCCTGAACCATGCAAGACAGGAATTCAGGATTCAGATTGTAGTGGTCCAGCAACATTTTTGGGCTTAAAAACACAATTTTATTTATAATACAGATTCATAGAAGTTGCAGTTCATGAATATTCACCTGATTTTTTTTTTATTATTTTTTTTTTTTACTGCTTATTCCAGAAATTTGTGTTGTCAGTGAACTAGAAGATCTCAGCGCCTCAGTAGATATGCAGGATGTGTATACCAAAGTCAAATGTAAAATTGAAAGCTTCAACATTGACCACTACAGGAACAGGTATTTAATAAAATTAATATATTAATTCCATTCCAATGCAAGGAAACTTTTTTCCTAACTAAAAATACTATTTAATTCTTCATAGAGAAAATGCATTGTTGAATACAGTAGAATAAGGCTGAGCAAGATTTTTAAAACAGTGAACATAGGTACCACAGTTTCTCAGAATTAGACTTGTTGTCAAAAGGGGATGCTTCAGCCTCAAGAAAGGGGAAAGAAAAAGCATTTTCTGTGTGCGCTACCATTGAAAATTAGTATTTGTCAGACTAAATCTTTAGCCATAGTCCAAATATTTAAAATAAATGCTTCAAATACTGGATCATGGTAACTTTAATTCTAAGAAATGATAAATGTCTAATTTTTTATAACTCCTATTTTGTAAAATTTATTTTAAGGCATCAGGAGAAAATTTCTAACAAAGAAGTATATCTGTGACTGTGGCTGTGGCATAGCAGTGTGGGACAAAGCCATGCCCACACAGTAAACTTACTGTCCTGGGCAGCAGGAACTTCAAAAATACTGTAGTGATACTGAAGGGCTGCCATCAGACTGGAAGCAATGTAGTTACATCCGTCTGGTGCTTCAGGCAGGCTAATTAGCACTGCTGAGGGACAGTGCCAAATAGTCTGTCTGCCCATTGTGCTGCATTTTGAAGATTTGGATGGGGTTTTTTTAACCTTTCCATTCTGGACAGTAGAAAGAAAATTTAGTGAAGCCTCCTAGTCTGCCTTTAGCTGAGATACTGAGAACATTGAGACAGTATAATAAACAAACAACATAGGCAGGGGTGGCCAAACTTCTTCACTCTTAAGTTGCAAATCAAAATCTTGACATAGCCGAGCGCCACAGGGCACAGAAATTTTGACATGCATGTTTCCCAGAGTCAGTGATCTGTACATGATGCCCAAGTTCACAACATCATTTGCTGTTAAATGACTTTCTTCATGAGTTGTATTTAAACTGCCTGGGAAACGCATGCGACTCTTGGGCTGCAGTTTGTCCATCCCTGTCTTAGGATATTTATGAAAAGTAGAGCCTTGAGTCTGAGTTTTCTTTCTTTCATCTGAATTAGAACTATTTGGTTTGCACATATTGTAACAATTACTAATCAGACCTTATGTTTTATATCTAGAAACTTCTGTTTTGGTCCAGTCATGATGTTTTGAGATATGTTTGAGTACACCAGTCGCCTTTCAGCTATTAAAAAGCAAGGGATTTTTCTAGGGATTGTGTGCAAGTCTTGAGGGGAGGTCATTTGCTATGAATAGTCTAAAGTTCCACATTTTCCATGGCAAATTCTTCCATCCTAGCAGTATTCTTTGCTGCTAAATTTTATCAAAATATTAAACTATTCCACTCAGAATAATTGTGTTATTGTTTGCACTGTCAAATCCAGTTTACAATTCACAATCATTACAAAGTATGGTTTTACATGGCAAATTCTCTGGATTCAGACCAAAAGCAGAGAACAGATAAGTTGAACATTCTGTCTTCCAGGCCAGGGGAAGGCTGGCAGTCAGGACATTTTGAAGGAATATTTCTACATTGCAAAGAAAAGCTTGTGGTGAGATTTCTTTAGTAAAATAAGATGCTTAACAAAATAACTCTGCCTTAAAAATTAAACCATGTAATTTTCTTTGTTCTTGGGCACGTTAGGAAAGATGATTACAAGAATTATAGTTCAAAGCAACATTTTACCCCTTTATAACCAACTATATTTTTGTGAACAGGTACTAGAAATTTGAAAAGTATTTCAATACACTTGCCCTGCCTTGAGTTTCTTGGTTCTTGTAATCATCATTCTTCATTCTAATCAAGCTTTTTGCTGAAATCACCTGATACATCTATTTTGTGTCTGCAGAATTCTTTTAGACTTTAATTCCATGTATCTCCCTATCTCTCGCTAGATTTTTCTTTCCCTTAAAATTTTCAAATTTAATTTAATTTTCTCACATGATTTTCTTTTGGATTCCTTGAATTTGGGAATGGCAGATGAAGGTACACCATAGGCTACATCTCATAGTTTCATAGAGCTAAACAGGTTTCAGCGCAATTTATGATTCTAATTTATTAATTTTTTTTGCTCATAGTGTTTTATTTTTGGCTTTTTTCTCTTCCTGCTTCCCTGCCTCCCACCCCAACGCCCTGTTCATCACCTCAAGCCTCGGGGAAGACTGTTGGTCTCTGGGGCAATATGGAGGTGTATTCCTTTCCTGTACTGACAAGCTGAACAGACGTACCTTGCTGGTTCGACCCGTCAGCAAGCAGGACCCTTTCAGTAATTTCTCTGGCTTCTTTCCTTCTGTAAGAAATCATTTTGAAAACATATAATACAGAACTTCCACTAACGAACAGTAGGGCAGAAAAATTGTCATAATTGAAATAAACTTCATTCTTTTCGGTTGGAGTTGTTGTAGCCATGATGGTCCAGCACTTACATGAGAGAGATCTTTTTTAATTCTATCAGCTATTGCAGTGGTTCCCAACCTTTTTAGACAGTGGACCGGAAGTGACCACAGACTAGCAAAATACAAACGAAGTGTGGACTGACAGTATAAAAATAGTGTTGGCTGTGGGTCCATAGTATACGGTCACTTCTGGACTTCCAGTCTGGCAGCCAACCCTCCTGCAGACTGGCAGCCAACCCTTCATGGTCTGGTACCAGGCCGCAGCCCGGAGGTTGGGAACCTCTGTTCTATTGGGCGAATTGAATATTTGGGAGAGATATTAGACAGGTTTTTGGGCACAAAATATCCTTCATCCAATAAAAGATATTACAAAAAACTCCTTGCTTCCCCCTTTTTTGTCATTTATACTTTCTCTGCACTGAATATTTCTGTTACATTATCTGTTTTACTTCCCCCTTTCCCTTTAGTAAGAATTGTCAAATTTCTGCCTGAGCTTGGGAAGGAAAGTCCTTTGGCTTCCTCTGAAATGTATGCTAGTATCACTTGGCAAAGTAGCAAAGCTAATATGCTTCCTTTAGACTGCCTATGTCCTGATCTCACAAAACAGTTAAGCAGGTGAGAAGTTCTTTTGAAATCAGAGCTTTCTCGCTTTATAGAAAAACATGTGTGGAACTGATTGCAGGATATGGACCCAAATATGTGAGCAAAACAAATATTTAACATTGCACTTTGTGAATGGTGCCTCAAGTGAATAGGTCAGCACATTTACTTTATGCCTAAATCCCATTTTGATATTACATATTATTTGTAATTCAATTATTCATATAAAGTGATTACAATGAACATCTCATTTTTAGCATCATTTGAACATTACAATATGTTCAACCAGCAAGGAGTATAAATTTTGCTTCCCTTTAATGACCCCCTTTTTATTGGATCAGACTAAATCATAAATAGGTGAGAATATAGGTCTGGATATAATTCCAGAGAGCATGAAAAGGTCCAAAGTGTTTTAAGCTGTGGAAGGAAGGAGAAGGGCTATCATTAGGCCAGTTATTCCCTGTTTACTTCTAAATAAAAGTGACCTGATTTCTAAAATGCCATGCAAGCATTCACAGAAAGAAATAATTTTTAAAAATATATTCATTCAGGTACAAATTTGCCACCAGTTCCATTCAAAATCATGAGAGTTGAGAAACCTAAGTACATTAAAATATTGGGCATTTTATCTTGCAGCAGTGCGCAATGACATAGAATCTTTTCAGGTTAGTGGAAGTTCTGTTCCATTCTGATTTTTTTTATATCATAAATATGTCAATGTGATACATTCTCTTATTTGTTTTAGTTGGTTTAATTTTTCTAATAAGAATGATATCTAACTTACTAATTTGTTTTAAATCATTTTATCATATGTTCTTTCAACTTTTCAGCACTTAAAATATTCATCACATTTATGTAAGGAGGCCTAGTACCTGCATTTATAAAAAATAAAATAAAGTAACATTTGGAAATAAATCTTAAAACGTTGAAAGAAGCATCTGTTTGCAAACTGCAGTTGCCATACTTGTGCTTGAGTAATTAAAGACAATATGAATACAGTGGTGTAGGTTTCTGTCAAAATAAATGTGTGTTTTCTTTCAATTGCTTTCCTAAATTAATTAAGAACATTACATTTATTCTACTAGTTTATTTTAAAATTCTCAATTTTTACTATAACTCATCCAAAGTCAATTTTCAATCAGAATCTAATGTTTTAATTAAATACCAAAAGAGATTTTCAGGGATAAGGACAGACATTCAAAGAGCCTGAGCCTTAATTGATTCAATCTTTGCAGGTTAATCTAACCTGGCTAGGCTAAACCAGTTGTAACCGTATAGACATCCCCTCTGGACTGAAAAAATGCAGTCCCATGCCTGCAGTGGCTCAGGCTAGAAGCCAGGGGGTGCTAGATCAGCCCTCCCTTCCCTTCTGTAGTGCTGAGCCCCCCCCAGTCTGAAGTTTAATGGAATAAATTTGGAAAGTATTTTTACGTTCATACATTAATTGTTTTAGTGCCTAGTATATGGAAATTCTCCTTTAACTACTCCGAGATGGTGGAGTCAAAAACAAGTCAATCCTTCAGGGAATAGTGTTCATTATAAATGTGTTGCAGGACAGACCTAACATACACATGTATTTCACAACTCCAAATAGCTCTGATCCAGAGCACTAGTTGGACCTGCAAAAAGAATAATGAAAAATGATAATAAGAGCTCTCTAAAATAAAAAGCATGTTAAAAAAGATAATTCTAAGTTTGAAGATACAGACAAATGTACATTTGGAATGGTTTCAAAAGGGGATGGGGAGCTATTGCTACAGACCACACAGCAGCTGTTATGTTGAAACAGTTACATGTGTACAAGCTGGGAGCAATACATATGTAGCAAAACTGCTGCAACTGTAACTCTGGATAAAACAGTGTTAAAGTTGGAGCTATTTTACTACATTTGTATAGCTCCCTGCCTGTCCATGCATAATTTTTACAACAGAACAGCTGCTGTGTGGTCTGGAGCAATAGCTCCCCCTCCCCTTTTGAAACCTCATCAAATGTATGTTTTTCCATACTCTGTGAGTGAAAAAAATGTTTGTTTGGTAAATTGACTTTCCCAATATAAGGATTATTTTGGATAGCAGGATCTGAGAAATATTTACTTTACCAGACTCTATTTTAAATGAATTATTCAATGCATTGATGAACAGTCAAAAGGAAAGTTAGGTTACATTGGACTTGCTGCTCTAGCACACAGCAGCTGTGGGGATAGTGCTATGCAAATGTATAGTCCATTCTGTGAGGTAGATGTTCCTTCTAAAGAACCCTTTGATGTTTGGAAAGAGATAGTTTAACAGTTTTAGGTTTTAATTCCATCACAACTGGTCTCTTTACAAGATGTTTAAAATCTCTTTGAAGCAGTTTCATTTTTGTTTTCTTTTTCTTGGAACAGACAACGTCAAAACTTTTAGATGGCTCACATCAACAACATGGATTCCTCTCTCTCACTTATACAAAGGCTGTGACAAAAAATGTCCGGCACAAGTTGATATCAAGAAATGAACGAAGAACTTTTCATAAGTTATCGGAAGGTCTGTCTGATGGTTCTCCTCATTTTCTTCATGAGATCCTTCTTTCTGCTCAGGCATTTGATGTTGTCCTCTGTTTCCCTTTGCTCAATGCAATTGCAAATATATTTCAAGCAAGGCTACCAAGAAGTCAAAAGGAGAAAAGAAAATCACCTGGCCAGCCTATGAGAAGTCACACTTTAACATCTCGCAACTTACCTTTGATTTATATCAACACAGGTGTAATCAGAGTCTTCTTTCCCAAAACTGAGGAAATACAACACACAGGAGGTACTGTACTCTCTATTAGAATGTATTTATGATATGAAACTTTTATCTCCTTCAGCTTCTTTTCTGAAGGTCATCTTTGCTGTAGATATTTTCTTTCTAGGTAAACCCAAAGCTCATAAACAGTTTTTCCTTGTTCCAGACAAGAGATCTAGTCTCTGACTGAAACAAAAACAAATCTACCTTTATTTAGTTCAGTGCTCCTTGAGATACAGATATATTTAAGAAAGCCCCTGGGGCTTTCATACAGTAATACACAGACAGACACGTTATTATTATTCATACTAGATCTCTAAGAGTCTCAGAAAAGGTTATTTTAGAAATCCCCTTTATCTCCACTTTCGCCTGTTCTAATAAAAAGTGTTTAGGCATGGGATTGCCTAAGATGTTCTCAAGAATTGTATTCAAATAACTTAAGCCCTGATTCTTATGTGGTGGACATTTGGGCTAGTACTTGGCCATAGTGAATCCAGCAGTCTCCGTGCTGGTAGAGGAGTCCACCCAAATGGATCCATCTATTTGAAAGGGACATTAGATTCTATGGTAATGCATGCTATAGAAAGCTGAATGTTTTGAAAGATGGGATGGATAAAAATTATTGTGCTCAGTTTAACTTTTGCCTTCTGTCTGGGTACTAAGGGGATTAATACACACCAAAAAATGCTGTTCAGCCTTCATTATATACATCTTGAGAAACACTGAATAAGTTTGCATTCAGGATATTTTCAGGGTACTGTACTTACCCAACTCTAAGATGACCTTGAATTTAAGATGACTGCCCAGTAATTAAATTCTATACATGGAAAATTATATATTTTTTATAATTTTCCATGCACAGAATCTAATTATTGGAGGGTTGTCTTAAACTCATCTCCTTACCCCCAGCAGTGGCAAGGGGCCAGACAGTTGGTCCTTGCCTCTCCTACCTGCCTCTCCATATCTACATCCTTGCCATCTGACCCCCACTGCCATTGGCCCTCCATTCATGTGCCTGCCCCCACCCCTTACCCCCATGCCTATACCCCTGCTGACTGTCCTGTCTCCAACTTGCCCCCACCATGTGCCCCCTTTGCTTCCTGGACTGTCATTTCTCCTGTGCCTGCCTCCTCCCCCACCCCTACTCCTTACACCACTTGCCTTCTGAGTGGCTCTGGTTCTGGCTTTGGGCAGTCAGCAGCAGCCCTGGCCACACCCCAGACTGGCCAGGGAGAAGCAGTGGCAGTAGATCTGGGCTCAAGGAGCCAGAGCTAGAGGGTAAGAAGTGGGAGAATGTAGAGGGGGTGGGGGTAAGGCAAGAGGTCAAGGGTCCAGGTGGCACAGTCTCCCTTGCACTTCCCTGCATGTCTAACACTGTGGGGTCTCCCCTGTGTATCATCCACCCTTGTGAGCTGCCCCGTGCTCCCATAAAACTAGCTATTGTGGTTTGGGGCACACAGTGGCTTAGCTCCAGCTTCAGCCTGGCAGTGGTGCTGCTGCTGTTGCTGGAACTGGGGCCAAAGCCAGAACTGAGCTGCCACCTGCTCCAGGCCAGTACTTGAATCCAGCTTTAGATAAGGCTGTTTGCCCTATGTTGCTTAGGGAAAAATATCTCCTCTTAGATTTGAGTATATATGGTATTTAACTCATTGAGGATACTGTAAGTTACTCTGGCTACCAACAGATGTTGCATGTGTCCAGGATAGCTTGTGCCTTTTTTGTCTTATAACAGTAAAGCTGAAGGATTGGTATGTACACCCATCGACCTTCCGATCAAGTTTAGTGAGTGGATGAATGCCCTGCTACTTTTCTGCCTTTGATTCAGAGATGCAGTCCTGGGGCAACCATTCAGACATGTTTCCTGATGTCTTGGGACAAACTGTTAGCACTTCTTATCATGCAGACCTTTTTAGGTTTTATCCTGGGACAATAGACGTGTATGTCTGAACTATTGCATGGATCTTGGGAGAAAATAGTTTCTCTCTGGACAAATGTGAAGTCTGTGTGTAGTCTTTCTCAGACAACTGTGGGTTAGGTAACTGAGCTATAGATAATCAGGGTTTGAATTTTTCCTGTGTATTTTTTTTTTTATCTGTAAACAATTCTTAAACAAAATATGTTTTCCCTCAGCTAGAGAAAATGAATTATTCCCACTGTCAACAATTATACTACTGAAGAATTCTATTACTGGCATAATGATACATTTTACATAAGTCATGTAGGTATGGTTTGTTACCACTGTGTACAATAATATGTAATCTAGTCCTATGAGAATAGAGTTTACATTTTCTCATAACCTAACTACAAGAGGTGCAGACAGAGAGAGTTTAGTAGGATTATTTTTTTGCCAGCATCCTCTACAATTTTCCAACTGGGAATGGTGAAAAGACAGAGAGATAAAATTAGACTGGTTTTGTTGGCAAGAAAGAGTTATTGTTCTTCAGGGAAGGGAGTCTGGGGCATGCTGTCAAGGAATGTTTTTAAAGAATATGCTTTTGCAGCATCTGTAGCTATGAATTTCATTAAAATTAAATTTATATTAAAAAAACCAGTCTGCCTGAAAAAAGAGGATAAATAGACTGACCTTATGCTATCCACATTTTTAAGCATCCACAAATAGCTGAATTGTCCTGGTTAAGCATGATTAAAGGTAGTAAAAAGATATACATCTTTTAAAATGGCTGAAAAGAATAAAATTTTACTGACGTTTTATCCCAAAAGATAGGATTTTCTGGAATTTCATCAAAATGAAGGTCTCTGTCACTTCTTTGTTTCTAGCCCTTTCCATACTCAGGTATTTCTGAAAGGTGTCTCTCTTTGTCCTTGTATAACAAAAGCAAAGGCTTGAATATGGCCAGTATTTCTGGTGTTAGTTCCGCTGTTAGAAAAATGCCATATATCAGAGAGACTACCTGGCCCTTAAGACTTAATCCACCATCTGTTATTTAAAGGAGTTGCTTAATACAGGAGAATTATATCTCATCTTGATTACTCTGGGGTTGGGAGAAAGATGATAACCTCAATTTATTTTCCAGTCATAGGTAAGCAGATGTTCTTACCCTCTGCTGCCCAGCAGGACTACCTTTCTCACAAAGAAAAATGTAAAGTTGTGTTCCTATGTGCAGAAAGAGAAAATAAGTAATGATGAATCCAGCCTGTATACATGCAGCCATGGCAAGCTTCTATAAGAAACTGCATGACCATTTGTAAAATAACCAAGTTGACAAGTATTAACTTCTCACTAATTTAAAGTGGGCTACAACTTGTTAATGTTAAATGTTGTGGTAGTACCATAATAACAGTAATTCTTTTTTATAATGGATTGGTGTGTAGTAAACCATCTTAGTGAACAGAGTAGAAGTAAAACTGCAGCTACCTGCAGCTTCTTTTATTGATGTGGTCAGTTTCAAGCATTGGCTAAAAACCTACTATTGCTCAGTGCTGGAATGAGTCACAAGTTAGAAATATAAAAACAAAGTTAGTAAAAAGGGAGAAATAGCAGTCAATGTAAATAAAGAATTAAGTTTAGAAAACTGATGAAGGAAAGTAAAAACAGAGAGGAATCCTTGGTTGGCAGGGCTGAAGACAGTAAGTTGTTTTTAAATATAATCGGAGAATAAAAGAAATTCAAGCAGTGATATTGGTCATCACTAGACAGACATGATAAAATTGTTAATAATGTAAAAAGGCTTAAGTACTTTCTCTATTAAAAAAGATTAAGTACTTGTATCATATGAGAATGACCAAATACTTTTCAATTAACTAGTAACCAATTAACTAGTAACCAACGACAATCTCTATTGTTAGACAATAGAGATAAATGTTTTCAATCAGCACACTCAGATAACTTGCACTCAAGAGGCCTAAAATAATTGGCTAAAGTGATTGTTGGCCAGCTGATGTTTGTATTTAGTAAATCTCATATTACCAAGATCAGGCTGATGGTCACATTTAGGATCAGGAAGGAATTTTACTCCATGGTCAAATTGGTATAGACTGGGGGGTTGCCTTCCTCTGGAGGCAGGGACCTGACCCTCTTCCTTGGATCTCTTGTACATTTAATACCCTCACAGTGGTGGGATGCTGACTGTCCTCATCTCTGTATTACCTGTGGCTGGTTAGAGTGCTTTTGGGCTAATGACAGAAGTTACACATAAACTGGTTATAAGTGATCAAAACCTGATTTAAACCTGTAACAGAATAGACATTCAGTGCATATAAACCAGTTTCAAAATGGCTGAACCCAATTTGAGATAAACCTGGTTGAATGTAGTATCAGACTTAGCTGATCTGGGTCAAACCAGATTATGCAATGTCTGTCCCAGACTCCTTCCTGGTTTAAGTTAAACCAGAGTCCCCCAGCATCCCAGATGCTTTGCAGTCATGGGCTGCACTGGGCTGTCTGCTGGAGCAGAGCTGGGTTGGCCCCATCCCTCTCCTTCCTAGCCAGAACACTGTCACTGCCCTGGCAGTCTGAGGGACTGCAGGGGCTGCCAGGCTTCCC